AAAGCTGGAAATGAAATCCAGTCTCTGATCTTTCTCACACCAGGGCCTGCCCTTTTTCTACTATGTGGTAATGCTTCTCTAAGTACCAATAATATAGTTCCAAGTTCTTCAGGAGAGGGAGAAGTAAGTGGGGTTTGAAGGATTAGGAAATACATAGTACCTGACCTGGTCATTTAAAATGGGTATGATTTTGATCAATAGTATGGCAGAGATGGCACTCAGGGCAGGAGAGCAAAGTCAAATAAATTTGCATACCTTCTTTGGGTGATGTTGAGGAGAGCTCAGGCTGATAGTTTCCATTTTGACTTCCTTGTGCTCTTTCTGCAGGGAGGTCCTGGCCAGCGAAGCCATCCTTAATATTCCTGATAAGTCTGACTGGAGGCAGTGTCAGATCAGCAAAGAAGATGAGGAGACCCTAGCACGCCGCTTCCGGAAAGATTTTGAGCCCTTTGACTTTACTTTGGATGACTAAGCAAAGGGAAGAACTTTTTATGAACTTCATAGCAAGTAGTAAAAGCCTATTTTTTTTTTTTTTTTTTTTGAGACAATGTCTCACTCTGCCTCCCAGGCAAGATTGCAGTGGCGTGATTTTGGCTCACTGTAACCTCAACCTCCTAGGCTCTAGAGTTCCTCCCACCTCAGCCTCCTGCATAGCTGGGACCACAGGTGTATGCTACCAACACCTGGCAAACTTTTTAATTTTTTGTAGAGATGGAGTTCTCCCTCTGTTGCCCAGGCTGGTCTCTAACTCCTAGGCTCAAGGCATCCTCTGCCTTGGCTTCTTAACTTGCTAGGATTATAAGCATGAGCCACCATTCCTGGTCTTGAAGCCTATTTTTAAAGAAACTACAGTCTCCCATGGGGGGACTGTTTCCCTGCCTTTTTTGTGCAGTCCCATGGAACTGCCTGCAGCAAGAGACCTAAAATTGAATCTTCTGGTGGGGGGAAGTCATTCTGGCATGAAAACCCTATGTTAAAAGCATGTCACCAGGTGCAGTGGCTCATGCCCATAATCCCAGTACTTTGGGAGGCTGAGGTGGGTGGATCACCTGAGGTCGGGAGTTTGAGACCAGCCTGGCCAACATGGTGAAACCCTATCTCTAATAAAACTACAAAAATTAGTTGGGTATGGTGGCAGGCAGTTGTAATCCCAGCTACTCAGGAGGCTGAGGCAGGAGAATCACTTGAACCAGGGAGGCAGAGGTTACAGTGAGCTGAAATCGTGCCATTGCACTCCAGCCTGAGTGACAGAGTGAAATTCTGTCTCAAAAATAAAATAAAATACAATAAAATAATAAAACAATGTCTGTCATCCAGCTCCAAGTACAGCTTGTGTATATCAACATTTTCAAAAACCTGTAAACGATCAAATAAATCCAGATGTTTTCCCATAGTTGAGAAGTGTCTTGTGTTCATGTTGCCTATGACCATTGAAATGAGGTAGTATGTGTAATAGGAGGGGCCAGAGCTTTAGGCCCAGCTGTTAACCCAGAATCACACAGGGTGGTTTCTCCCTGAGCAACCCAAAGTAGAGAAAGGATCCGAGGCTTTTGCTACTTTTCTCTTAAAAGCATTCATCTTATTCAACTCCTATGTGCCAGGCATTCTTCTATGCTCCAGGACCATAGCCATGACCCAATGTGGTCCTTGTTGTCCCAGAGATTACAGTTTAATGGGGAAGATAAAGGACAGATTTAAGGAAAAAAAGAGAAATTCACTTTGGATATGTTGTTATAGGTGCTTGATAGATCTAATGTGTGTCGGTTGTGCTGTTGGGCAATTCTAAACTCATCAGGACCTGGGTTAGTTATAGGGCTTTGGGGATCATCAGGGTATAGGCCATAGGTGAAATTATGACAATAGATGAAAATAAGATAGAGTAAATGCAGTCCTGAGCTGAAGATGATTACCTGAGAAATATCAGTATTTAAGGAGTGCTTGAAAATACTGATTTGGTCGGATGTGGTGGCTCATGCCTGTAATCCTAGCACTTTGGGAGGCTGAGGCAGGCAGATCATGAGGTCAGGAGTTCAAGACCAGCCTGGCCAATATGGTGAAACCCTGTCTCTACTAAAAATACAAAAATTAGCTGGGCATGGTGGTGTGCGCCTTTAGTCCCAGCCACCCGGGAGGCTGACGCAGAAGAATCGCTTCAACCCGGGAGGCGGGGTGGCAGTGAGCCGAGGTCATGTCACTGCACACCAGCCTAGGTGACAGAGCGAGACTCCGTCTCAAAAAAAAAAAAAAAAATAGTGATCTAACATTTACATGGAGAAGGAGCAAAGAGAATGCTGTATATTAGAAGCCAAAACAAAATATTTTTACCTTTATATTGGGCACTTATGGTCCGGATACTGTTTAACTTAATCTTCACAAAATCTCCATGAGGTAGGTATTACCTCTATTTTACACATAAAAAAAAAAAAAAAAAAAAAAAACAACAACAACAACAACAACAAAAACTTGAGACTCAGAATATTGAAGATTGTGGAGCCTGGGGTCCACAAGCTTAGGCTTTTTTAAAAACTTGAAGGCCAGCCGGGCGCAGTGGCTCATGCCTGTAATCCCAGCACTTTGGGAGGCCGAGGCGGGTGGATCACGAGGTCAAGAGATCGAGACCATCCTGGTCAACATGGTGAAACCCTGTCTCTACTAAAAATACAAAAAATCAGCTGGGCATGGTGGCGCCTGCCTGTAATCCCAGCTACTCAGGACGCTGAGGCAGGAGAATTGCCTGAACCCAGGAGGCGGAGGTTGCGGTGAGCCGAGATCGCGCCATTGCACTCCAGCGTGCGGAAAAAGAGCGAAACTCCGTCTCAAAAAAAAAAAAAAAAAAAAAAAACTTGAAGGCCAGTTGTGATGGGTCACACCTGTAATCCCAGCACTTTGGGAGGCTGAGATGGGCAGATCACCTGAGATCAGGAGTTTGAGACCAGCCTAGCCAACACGGTGAAACCCCTGTCTGTACTGAAAATATAAAAATTAGCTGGGCGTGGTGGCGGGTGCTTGTAATCCCAGCTACTCAGGAAGCTGATGCAGGAGAATTGATTGAACCTGGAATGTGGAGGTTGCAGTGAGCCAAGATTGTGCCATTGAACTCCGGCCTGGGTGACAAGAGCAAAACTCCGTTTCAAAAAAAAAAAAAACAACTCAAATTATGGCCCCAAGAATGGGAGCATTTAAAGAGTTACCTAAGGGAACCAACCAAGTTTCCACGAAGATGGCCACTTTGGGGTCAGCCCAATCATCAGTATCCCTGGGTCCTTAGCATCCCTTCTTACCCCTTGTGAGTGGGAATTACGAGATTACAGCCCCACCTGTGGACATTGAGCACATAGCGCTGGCTATGCTGTCCATAGGCAAACAAGAGGGCTTCATACTGTTGTAACAATCTGTACCACAATTCTCTATGCAGTCTGCCCAGCGCTAAATGACATGTCCTTAGAGGCACCATCATCTCCCAAGTCCATGGAAACCATGCACTTACAGAAACCAGAACCTCCCATACCGCATGTTACTAATGACCTACAACATCGACGTGGTCTGTATCATGCAGTGCTCAGCATTCTGGTTGCAGCATCACATTTCTCAAGAATTTGATTCCATGCTGATTACTTGGAGTATTGAAATCTCCCAGGTACTGTGAAGCTATGGCCCTCTCAAATAGAAGACCAGGAGCTGGTTCCCCTATGCTATGGCAATCTGCCACCGAGAAGCACTTGCTGCACCAACAGCAAGGCAAGCTTGCCTCTGCAGCCCTGCAGCACCCATCAGAAACACTTATCACAATGAGTTACTGTGCTGGCAAACCCATAACTGGACTGCCAGACAGCGAGCTCCATGAGGCATCTAGGGAAAAAGCTCCCAAAATCCAGAGAAACACTCTTTACTCCGGAATAGAGTCACATCCTTGAGTCATTTGGGATGACGGGGATATCCTGGAGCAGGTGTATTGGGAAGTCAGTGAACAAGAAAGCTGATTTATTAGTGGGCCTGTTGGTGCAGTATTTTTCCGATTCCGCAGGCTTTAAATCATTGGTGGTCTTTGGCGTGCGGGATCAGCAGGTGGTGGAGTTGGAGGATAGATGGCAGGGATCTCAAGAAAGGTGAAAGGTAGACAGGAGTGGAGACAACGTGAAGTTTTCCAAAGACAAATTACCAGGCGCGGTGGCTCATGTCTGTAATCCTAACACTTTGGGATGCCGAGGAGAGGACTACTTGAGGCCAAGAGTTCAAGACCAGCCTGGGCAATGTAGCAAGACTCTACAAAAAACAAAGATGAAAAATTAGCAAGCGAAGTGGTGGGCGCCTGCAATCCCAACGACTCGGGAGGCCGAGGCTGTAGTGAGCCGTGATCACGCCACTGCACTCCAGCCTAAGCAATAGAGGGAGACCCCGTCCTAATTAAAAAAAAAAAATGAGGCCGGGCGCGGTGGCTCACGCCTGTAATCCCAGCACTTTGGGAGGCCGAGGCGGGTGGATCACGAGGTCAACAGATCGAGACCATCCTGGTCAACACGGTGAAACCCCGTCTCTACTAAAACTACAAAAAATTAGCTGGGCATGGTGGCGCGTGCCTGTAATCCCAGCTACTCAGGAGGCTGAGGCAGGAGAATTGCCTGAACCCAGGAGGCGGAGGTTGCGGTGAGCCGAGATCGTGCCATTGCACTCCAGCCTGGGTAACAAGAGCGAAACTCCGTCCAAAAAAAAAAAAAAAAAAAAAAAAATGATGCGAATGTGGGGTTTGGAGAGATCTTATGTTTTCTAAGACTAGAAAACCATTGCGGTTCCATTCAGCCCTCCCGGAAAATATCTAGGGGACTCCAAGAGCAGACCAAGTGTCTGTCATTTTCCCACCCCCTCGCCGGCAGGCGTCTGGTCGCGGCCGGGGAGAACTTAAGGCGGGGGCATTCTCGCAGCAGTTACAGGAAGTGACGCATTTATTCTCGCGAGAAGAAGGACGCGCGAGCCTCGGCGGCCCGGAACCGGTTTTGGAACAACGGCGGAACCTGAGGCAGCTTTCCCTCCCGCCCCATGGAGCGGCCCCCGGGGCTGCGGCCGGGCGCGGGCGGGCCCTGGGAGATGCGGGAGCGGCTGGGCACCGGCGGCTTCGGGAACGTCTGTCTGTACCAGCATCGGGTGAGGCGGGGCGCGAGAGGGAGCGGCGGTGGAACACAGGGCTTACAGTATGGGATAGATGATTGGTGGACCTTGGGCAGTATTTGTGGGCCAGTGGGCTTGTGTGTGTGTATGAGAGAGAAAAATACTATGCTTGTGAGTCCAGGGTTGTATCTGAGGTCCTGGGCAAAGATAGAGCTGTTGCGGGGAACTTGGGTATGAGTGTCAGGCTGTGACCAGGTGTTTAGTGAGTGAGACAGTGCGTGTGTATATCTCTTTGTGAATGTAGAGTGTCAGGCAGATTCACAGTGTGTATGTGTGAGCACGAATGTGTGAGAAGAGGGCTGAAGGGGACTGCCTGTTGGAATGTGCGCGTCCTTATGTGTGTGTTCGTGTGTGTGTGTGCGCGCGCGCGCGCCTGGAGGCCGTGTGGTATCAGTGGGGACTGGCGTAGACAAGGAAGGTTTCATGATGAGTCCAGAGTTAAGCCTTTGGGAGCATGGATGGGCTTTGGAATTGGGGTTGTATTCCAGGTCGGGAACAGTGTGAGGGTAAGTTGGTGCAGATCATGGCTTCAAAGGGAAGGGGATATTAATAGATTGGAGATGGGGGGCGCTCTAGTCGGTGGAGGACAGTTAATATCAGACTCAAGAATTTTACTTTGATTTAATAGAGAATGTGTAACCGTTGTAGCAGCAGTTAAAAATCATATTTGGGTCATGTTTTGTTTGTTTGTTTGTTTTTGAGCCGGAGTCTCACTCTGTCACCCAGGCTGGAGTACAGTGCCGCGATCTCGGCTCACTGCAACCTCCTCCTCCCGGGTTCAAGTGGTTCTCCTGCCTCAGTCTCCCGAGTAGCTGGGATTACAGGCGCCCGCCGCCATGCCCAGCTAATTTTTGTATTTTTAGTAGAGACGTGGTTTCACCATGTTGGCCAGGCTGGTCTCAAACTCCTGACCTCAGGTGATCCACCTGCCTCGGCCTTCCAAAGTGCTGGGATTACAGGCATGAGCCGCCGCACCAGGCCTGGGACCTGTCTTTTTTGATATACCAATAAAAGCTATGAACGCTTTTCCCCAGAAAAATGCACAGATGCACATCCACACAACCTTATGCAGTCATTTGAGGGGTTCCTGCTTTCCTAAAGGACATTTTAGTAAACAAACCTTGGACTAGTAATTTCTGTAATACAGGCTTTGTTTTGTTACCTGTAAAATAGGTATAGTATAATAATTACACGCATGGTGGATCCGCCAGTTAAAGTATGTAAAGCTAAATACAGTACCTTACCCATTAAAGCCCTCAACTGTTAGCACCTGCTACTCCTTTGTTGTTATTGCTGCTGTGATCATAATCCTGCTCATTATTAATTGGCCTTAAGGAAATGTCAAGATAAAAAGTGTTGTTCTAGCAAAATGATTTTGTAAAGGGTAAATTTGAGTAGAACAACATATGGATGTAGAACAAGATGAACAGTTAAGATTTGACTAAAGTGCCTGGACTTGGCTTGTGAATAGAGAAATGAATTCAAGAAGAAAAGTAACAATTTGCTATCGAAAGGAATATGGGTGTAGGGAGGAAGTCCATAATTTGGGGTAGGAGAAAGGGGAGATGGGAGTCTACCTTGGGAAAATACGCATGTTTAGGGCAATTGGAATGACAACTGAAACTGATAGAACTGAGGAAGTTTTGCGAAGCAGGTTTCTAGATAGGGCATAGGAGGAAATCTTGGAGAAAGAGAATGAAAGATGAAGGACTAAGGCATTAGGTCCTGTGATAGCATGATAAGTAGTAAATTCAGAGGGGGCACAACACACTCAAAAAAAAAGTGGGAGCTAAGTGCTTCCAGTAGCATGTTGCCTGTGTTGCCTAAGCCTGCCTATCAGCCTGGTTGTAAGGAAAAAGGATGCATGCTGGCATGCTTTTGTGACTGCTTTTCTTGGTCCCTGGCTGGGGATGGATGAATTCATCACTTTTTGTTTTATTGTGGTAAAGTATACATAATACAACACTTATCACTTTATTGTTAAGTGTACAGTTTAGCGACATTAAGTACATTCACATTGTTGTACAGCTATCACCGCTATCTGTCTCTAGAATATTCCAACTTTTTTAACCCAGAACTTTTTTGTTGTTGTTGGACATCTATAAACTTCTCATAGAAGATTCTTTGTGAAAAGGTAGAATTTCACAGATTGGATGAAATATAAAGTAAGGAGTTGAAGGATCTTACACAGTGGGATTTTTGAAATAAATAACTTACTACTCTATCAGCCTGAGAATTTAGGGCTTACTGTTGTTCATGGTTGTGCTTGATTCTCATCTCTATGGTGGTAAAGGCTTGCATGGGACGTAGATATAGCTGGGTACCTGCTCATGACAAAAGGAAGATTGAAGAGAGTGAGGATTGCAGGTAGGCTAGCTTGTAGTCTGTCCTAGTTTCCTTCTCTACGCAAGTATCATCTTATCTCTAGTCTTTTTTCCTTTCACTCCCAGTTCACACTGCCCTATCCAAGCTATGTCTTGCTTCCCCACCTATAATATATTTTTTCTGTCCTGGTCCCTGGGCTCTTCTTTATTCATACACAGCCTTTATTACAACTCTGGTTTGTGTCAGAGACTACATATGTTGGAAATTCTTTTGAACTCTCCTCCTGATATCAGAAATATAGTGCAGCCTATTTAGCCCTGATTGCTGTTTCTGGGCTGCATTATTAGTGTTGACAGAATATGATGGGGGTCTGGCTATTTCCTGTAATGTGCATCAGAATTGGTTTAATTGCAGTCAGAATTGGCTAAATTACTAGTCACAGGCAAGGGATATTAGGTTCATTATGTGGATATGGAAACAGAAGTACACTCATTGGTAGGATTTTTTTTCCTTCATGTCGTTTGAAATGCAAACATTAAGATTGGAGTTTTTTGTTTTAGACTTGGTTATATTAAAACTTTCTCTTACTGTTTGGAGTCCAGGAAGCCCTGAATTACCTTCCTCATTCTAGTTATGCTGGAAGCTGGGGCCTATATTAGTTGTTTTGACTAAGCTCTGAAAGGGGTTTGCTGGGGAAACAGGATCTTTTTTTTTTCTAACATTATATATGAGAGAGTGTTCTGAAGAGACCTGTTATAAAATCAGTTTCAGTCACTTTTCCCTATGTGCTGTTGTGTGTTTGAAGGTCAGTTTTAATGCATTAGTATAATAGTCTCATGGTTCATCTTTTAAAAAAGTGTTGCCTCAAGAGAGCTGTGGATAAATATGTTAAATTAGTAAAGCTAAAGAGAGTTTTGTTTTCTTAGGTTATTTCTTTGGTAGCAAATAAATCTGCACAAGAACCTAATTTTTTTGTTGTTGTTGATTTTCTATTTTGGCAGGAACTTGATCTCAAAATAGCAATTAAGTCTTGTCGCCTAGAACTAAGTACCAAAAACAGAGAACGGTGGTGCCATGAAATCCAGATCATGAAGAAGTAAGTGTGCTTCTTAACTTATATTTATTTCCCTGGTTCTACAGCCTAACCAGATGTCATCATGGGGAAAGGGGCCAGGAATCCACTCTTCTCAGGATCTTTTTGGGAACATATTTTTTTTCTCTCTTTAAATATATCTATTCGATTTCAAATAATAACATCACATTAGGATTAAGAAGTTTTAGTTAAGAAAATCAGCTAGGACACTTATGCACTGTTAGTGGGAATGTGAACTTGTGCAGCTGTTATGGAAAACAGTGTGGTGATTCCTAAAAACTTAAAAATAGAATTACCATATGATCCAGCAGTTTCATTTCTGGGTATATACACAAATGAATTTAAAGCAGGGACTTAAAGAATAATTTGTACACTCATATTCATAGCATTATTATTCACAATAGCCGAAAAGTAAAAGCAACCCAGTGTCCACCAGCAGAGAAATGTATAAACATAATGTGGTATATTCATGCAATATAATATAATGCAGCCTTAAAAAGGAAGGAAATTCTGACACATGCCACAGCATGGATGAATCTTGTGGACGTTATGCCAAATGAAATAAGTCAGTCACAAAAAGACAAATATTGTGTTACTCCACTTATATGTGGTACCTAAAGTAGTCAAACTCACAGGAAAGAAAGTAGAATGGTGTTTGCCAGAGGGTAAAGGGACCAGCAAATAGAGAATAATTTTAAATTATTCTCTATGGAGTTTCAGCTTTGCAGAATTAAACAGTTTTGTGCAGTATAGTGATAGTAGCAAAACAATGTGAAAGTATTTGATGCCAGGCCGGGCAGGTTGGCTCACACTATAATTCCATCACTTTGGGAGGCCAAAGTGGGTGGATTGCTTGAGCTCAGGAGTTCGGCAACATGGCAAAACCCCATCTCTACAAAAAATATAAAAATTAGCCAGGTGTGGTGGTGCATGCCTGTAGTCCCAGCTCCTCAGGAGGCTGAGGAGGGAGGATTGCTTGAGCCCAGGAGGTCGAGGCTACAGTGAGCTGAGATCACACCACTGTACTCCAGCCTGGGTGACAGAGCAAGACCTTGTCTTAAAAAAAAAAAAAAAAAAAAAAGGAAAGTATTTGATGCCTCTAAACCGTACACTTAAAAATTGTTAAAGTGGTAAGTTTTATGCTGTGTGTATTTTACCACAATCAAAATTAAAAAGTATTTCATTTCAGTTAACAAAAGTCAGCTAGGGCTGGGCATGGGGGCTCACACCTGTAATCCCAGCAGTTTGGGAGGCTAAGCCAGGTGAATCACCTGAGGTCAGGAGTTCAAGACCAGCTTGGCCAACATGGCAAAACCCTGTCTCTACTAAAAATACAAAAATTAGCCGGGCATGGTGGTGGGTGCCTGTAATCCCAGCTACTCAGGAGGTTGAGGCAGGAGAATTACTTGAGTCTGGAGGCGAAGGTTGCAGTGAGCTGAGATTGTGTCACTGCACTCTAGCCTGGATGACAGAGTAAAACTCTGTCTGAAAGAAAAAAAAAAGGCAGCTAGGTATTTATGAGACTCAGTTCTCTAAAGGCAGAATCTGTTTCTTCTGGATCTTGGGCAATGCTCATCTATTACACTTTCTAACTAAACAGTAATCACTAGTCTACTTTCTTTTTTACCTATTTTTGTTAATGTATCTATTGCTTTGTAAAAAATTATCCCAACCTGGCTGGGTGCAGTGGCTCATGCCTATAATCCCAGCACTTTGGGAGGCTGAGGCGAGCGCATCACCTGAGGTCAGCCTGGCTATCATGATGAAACCCTGTTTCTACTAAAAATACAAAAAATTAGCTGGGCATGGTGGTGCACACCTGTAATCCCAGCTACTCGGGAGGCTGATACAGGAGAATTGCTTGAACCCGGGAGACAGAGGTTGCAGTGAGCCGAGATTGCACCATTGCACTCCAACTTGGGCAACAAGAGCGAAACTTTGTCTTAAAAAAAAAAAAAAAAAAAAAAAAAAAAAAGGCTGGGCGTGGTGGCTCATGCCTATAATCCCAGTACTTTGGGAGACTGTGGCAGGTGGATCACCTGAGGTCAGAGTTCGAGACCAGCCTGGCCAACATGGTGAGACCTCGTCTCTACTAAAAATACAAAAATTAGCCAGGTGTGGTGGTGGGCACCTCTAATCCCAACTACTCAGGAGGCTGAGGCAAAAGAATTGCTTGAACCCGGGAGGTAAAGGTTACGGTGAGCCAAGATCGCGCCACTGCACTCCAGCCTGGGCAACAGAGTGAGACTCCATCTCATTAAAAAAAAAAAAAAAATTACCCTAACATTTGGTGGCTTAAAATAGCAAACATTTAGTATCTTTTAGTTTCTGTGACTTAGGAATTTGGGAGTGACTTAGCTGGGTGACTTTACCTTAGAGTCCCTCCTGAGACGTCTCAAGATATTGTTGGAGCTGCAGCAGTCCAAAGGCTTGACTGGGGCTGGAGTATCTGCTTCCATGCTCACTTATATGACTGTTGGCCAGAAACATCAGTTCTTCACCATGTGGTCCTCTTCATGGGGAAGCTTAAATATCTTCATGACATGGAAGCTAGCTTTCCCCAGGAAGAGTGAGTGATCTGAGAGAGTGGGCAAGATGAAAACCGACATGTCTTTTATGGTCTTCCCTCAGAAGTGAGACTCCATCCTTTTCTACCACATTCTGTTTGTTACAGTGAGTTACTAAGTACAGCCTACATTCAAGGGGAGGAGTATTAAGCTCTTAAAGGGAGAAGTAGACATTTTAAAACTTCCACAGATAGTGTGCTAAGTAATTTTCAGATCGTTCTTCCAGTTATCACAGCAGTGTTATATTTAAGTATTATTTTGTAAATGAGGTGTATAGAGTCACTCAGCTGGTGGTTGGTAAAGTGTGGATTTGAAATAAATTCTTTCTGACTCCAATATGTGTGCTTAAATTTTGATTCTCAAACTTGGCTATGTGACAGAATCACCAGGAAAGCTTACCAATATAAATTCCCAGGCCCTACATTTACATGGAGATTCTGTTTGTTTGTTTGTTTGAAGAGATGTAGTCTTGATATGTTACCCAGGCTTGACTTGAACTCCTGGGCTCAAGCAGTCCTCCCACCTCAGCCTCTGGAGTAGCTGGGACTATAGGCATGCACCACCACACCTGGCTAAATTTTAATTTTTTGTAGAGGTTATATCTCACTGTGCTACCCAGGCTGATCTTGAACTCTTGGCCTCAAGCAGTCCTCCCACCTCTGCCTCCCAAATTGTTGGGATTACAGGTGTTAGCCACTGCACCCAGCCTAGACTGCCAGATTTGAATCCTTACTTGACTACCTACTCACTGTGTGATCTTTTTACTTAGCCAATTTGTGCTTTAGTTTTCTCCAGTTTGGTGAAAGTATTAATAAATCTACTTATAACAGGATTATTGTGACAAGTAATAGAGTTAATAAATGTGCTTACTGCTTGGCACATAGAAATGTAATAGTGATGGTATTTTTATGTATATTTTCTTTTAAAAATTGATTTTTAATTATACAAATCAGAAATTAGAATATTATAAATAATACTGATCTTCTTTCTCCCCTCTTCATCCCTTCACAATTAAGTAGCATTTCAAACCCAGTCCCTTTTTTTTTCTTGTAATGTTTCTCTTTTATTAGGTTGAACCATGCCAATGTTGTAAAGGCCTGTGACGTTCCTGAAGAATTGAATATTTTGATTCATGATGTGCCTCTTCTAGCAATGGAATACTGTTCTGGAGGAGATCTCCGAAAGGTAGGGTGGATGTTTTGAGATGAGAGATGATAAATCACAAACTTCAGCAATGTTTGAATCATATAATAAACTAGAATAAGAATTGGAAAAACTATGGTCTGCTTCCTGTTTTATAAGTAAAATTTTATTAGAACATAGCCACATTCATTTCTTTACACTTTGTGACTGCTTTCTTATGGCTGCAGAACTGAGTAGTTTTAACAGAGACTATGTAACTTGCAAAACCTTAAGTATTTACCATCTGGTTCGTTACAGAAAATGTTTGTTGACTCCTGATTTAGAAAATGCATTTTTGTTGCTGCTGTTTGTAAGATGGGCCTATAGCAATAGTGTCAGATAAAAATTTTGGTGATTCTAAAAAGTTGTTTTCTTTACTGCGATCTTTCTTTTCTACCTAATTTTAAATGTGCCTGTATGACTGTTTTTATATTTATTGTCAGTCTTTTCCAGTTTTAAATGCTTTTTGCCTCTTTTTACTTTTATGAGCCTTATGAAATTTATATGCCTTCAGTATGGATTTGGTAATTTTATTCCCTTGTATATTATCATGACTTATTTTCTCATTTGAATATTTTATAGTAATTAATGTGTGGTCACTATTGCAGCGCAGCAATTTGCAGAACACATTTTTAGATTTCTTTCTTTTTTTAGCTGCTCAACAAACCAGAAAATTGTTGTGGACTTAAAGAAAGCCAGATACTTTCTTTACTAAGTGATATAGGTATGTAATCAGTATTAAAATACCATTGTAATGTAATGCGCCTTGGTCCATAAAAGATTCTGTATCTTTTTGGGAATTCAAGAGAATTGATAATACTGTACAGAGTCTATAGAATTTTAACATCTATAAGACGTTATAAAAATCTATTACTGTTGATGCTAAATTAAAACTAGGATGTTATTTATTTTTGGCTAGGAGTCCTTTTTTTTTTTTTTTTTTTGGTCTAGTAGATGTTCCAATAGCTGACAAAAAAGATCATGTGAAATGACCTTATTCGATTTCACTCCCCCGTACCCAATTGACATAGTAATTTTGTTTATAGTGGAACTGCATCTCCTTGAGCGATGGGTTCTCAAGTCAGCTCTTTAGGGTGAAAAATCTCTGCTTAATTAAAATGACTCCTGAGAAATTCCTAAAATAACCAGTATCTGACCTTTTGAAGGAACCTCAAAAACCAAGAATTTGTTTCCCTGTATATTTTGTTTTGCCTCTTTTCCAAGGTCATGAAGGCCAAACTCCAGTTGAAATGGGTGATTTAGGTGGGAGAAAGAGGCTTATAAGAGTTACAGGGATTTTTCCAGTTGCTTGTTCAATTTCTATTTAATGTTCATTCTAATGAGTTATATGAGCATATAGTATAATTTGTGGTTTGTTTAATGTTACTTTCTTTGAAGAAAATTTGAACTACTATAATATTAGTTGTGTAGATACGATGATCCATATAAACTTGAGCATCAGAGCAGATTTGTACAAAATGTGAGTTGATTTTTTCTTTTAACTCAATGCTTTCTGTTACTTCAAAGTATACTTTAAACTTTATTTAGGGTCTGGGATTCGATATTTGCATGAAAACAAAATTATACATCGAGATCTAAAACCTGAAAACATAGTTCTTCAGGAAGTTGGTGGAAAGGTAGGTGAAACCTAAAGTAATGTTTCATGCCTATCAAATATAGTCTCTCTGATATAGTTAGTCCTTGAGCTTTGGTGTCTTTGTTGTATGCCCATAACACTCTTTTTCCATTTCAGTCCTCACCACACTGAACTGTAGTTTTGTGTTTAGTTTTTTGGTCTTTTCTTTTTTTTTTTTTTTTTTTCCCATTTATTTATTTTATTGCATTTTAGGTTTTGGGGTACATGTGAAGAACATGCAAAACTGTTGCATAGGAGTTTTTTGGTCTTTTCTACTAAACAGTGGTTCCATTAGAGAAAGAACTGCACCTTTCTTTTTTTTTCATTTTTCATACTTATCCCAGCTCCTAGACTTCACCTGTCTCATTCATGTCAGTTTTTCCAGCATAGTATCTATCAGAGATATAGTGATATATAGTCAGCACATCTAAAACACATACACGCACATCCTGGGTTCACTTTAAGAAAAAAAAAAAGAGCTGGGCGTGGTGGCTCACACCTGTAATCCCAGCGCTTTGGGAGGCTGAGGTGGGTGGATCACCTGAGGTTGGGAGTTCAAGACCAGCCTGACCAACATGGAGAAATTCCATCCCTGCTGAAAAATACAAAATTAGCCGGACGTGGTGGTGTATGCCTGTAATCCCAGCTACTCAGGAGTCTGAGGCAGGAGAATTGCTTGAACCCGGGAGGCGGAGGTTATGATGAGCCAAGATCATGCCATTGCACTCCAGCCTGGGCAACAAGAGTGAAACA